TTTAGTTAGCAAGTATCGTGGTGCTTACCCTACCCATATTTACTATTTAGTGCTATCCTGTAAAACCATGAATAAATGCAAATATGCTCATGAGAGAAATAAATTGCATTTTCTTAATGCATTTTGTCTATTCTTAATAAGGTATGAAGGTGCAGTTTTGAGGAATATGGATTTTTCCATATCTGATAAAATAGAGTACACAGCAAACCTGTTGATTAAGCAAATTTAAATTTGAGAGGTTGAACTTTTACGAGTATTTAGGTTTTTTGCTCATAAGGGGAGGGTAATAATGTGGTTTTTTTATGTTCATAGCCAAGTATATAATAAATAAATTTGTTAAAAATACATCCATAAACAAGTAAACCACTACAGTTTACTTATTCTCATTAGAATAATATGGAAATTTTAAATTTACAGTATATTGCATTTTATCAACAACAAAAAAACCGTACAAAAATGCTTCCAAATGCAATTTGTTAAAAATTTTTAGTTTAAGCTTCTAATACTATTTTTTTTTTCAATTTAATTGGTCAAGAGATAGCCTACATAGGGAAATTCTATGTTTTGAGGATCGAAATTAAGAAAACCCAATTTTTACCCCATAAAACTCTGTTCTCATAGTGCAGTCATGCTAGTTTGTAAACGAGTTTGAATAAATGTTAATACTCTATACTTTAGCACCAAACTTGATCGAAATTGGGTCATTTTACTGTACTCAAGTTATCGTGCTTACGGATACATAAATATATGGATTTGAATGGACTATGTTTTTTTCCTCTGAGTGCCATAATAATTTAAAAGTAAAACGGCCCCAGATATTGGTCCTACCATGATACCTATGGTAATAGCTTATTTCCTAGGTGGGAAATTCACTAAAATGATTGAAAACATTACATTTTACATGTTTAAAGACTTTTTAAACCAAATCTTTGTTGTTTAATATCAATAAATTAAATTCTAATTGAATGTTTGTTGGCTCTAAAGGTGAATAAGTCATAGGACCAGATTTGTTTATTAATGTATATTTACTGTACTATCTACCAATATATTGATAGTAGGTAGGTATAGTTAGAAGGCCAGGTTATGAACAGTTTTCTTGAAAATTTTAGAAACTTCAAATTGCGTATGTAGACAGCATAACCTTTTAAAAATATTAATTTCGTAGGCCTACTCGTCAGTCTTAGCATATCCACTATAAATTCCCCATAAAATGAAACTTCAGGAGAAGATAAATTGAAAATCAAGACTGCAGTTACCAACGGGCTACGTGAAAACCACGGTTAAACGTGTAATTCAAGTTTTTTGTATATCGAAAGACATCGTAGCTTTGATGTAAAGATTGCCTTAGTAGGGAAAATTATATATACAAAATCACCTGCCTTACACAAGCGCATGAATTAACAATAGCCTCAGTCCCCGACATCCGCCAACTAAGGTTTACACGTATATCCGCTTAGACGTATAATACACTCACCGATTACACAGGGGAATTGTAGGATTGGCTGACTTAATTGCTGCATTATTTACCTTCATACTGGCTTTGATATAACTACAGTAAGCTTACTTGTACACAATCGAGGTAAGCGACTAATTACGATCATAAAGTAAATAAATAGTATATTTCGTACCTAGGGCCGAAAATGAGGTTTTGCCGGCTCGAGATAGTTTTTAAGTTCGAGACGAAGTCGAGAACTTAAATCGATCGAGAGCTGCAAAACCATTTCGGTCCGTGGTACGAACACTATTTTTCACCACACTTTACCCTATTACCACTATTCACCACTATAATAATGCACACTGATAGTCAACACAACTACAACTTTAAGGTTATGTGAAGAAATAATTTGAGGAATCAGCAAAAATAAAAATAAATAGTTGCTAGGCAACGGTGACAATAACACAATTCTATTGCAATGCTATGGATTTTGATTGTGTATTTAAAATGCATTCATGTTTTAAGTAAGTAAGCGGACAGCTGATTTTGCGGCCCCGGCCTGTAAAAACCTGCTCGGTCCCCAAATTATGGACAGCTGGCATCGCCAGCAAAACGTAACTTTCGGCCACCAATTAACGTATGTAATACAGCCAAAAACATGATAGTGTGGTGAAAACATATTTTAGGCATATTTGTATTTACATTACGTCATTGACGGACTTGATTAGATCTTACCGGGTAATTATTATACTATTTGAGGAAAATAAAGGTACCATTAAGTTTTAAAATTATATAATGCAGGAAAACTAAATTAAGCATACGTTGGTATGTTTATAACCTTATTGGTTTGTTTAAGTAGCCTAGACCTATACTTTTATATAGGTTTTAAGTAGGTTTTATGGTCAATCGTATTATGTAAATGAATATTAATGAAGTTTTAAGGCTCAAACAAATGTTGTCAAACTAATGTCCAAACTGTTTTTTTTGGAAATTCACATTTTGTCAAATTTCAGCAAAAAATCGGTCAACTTTATCTAACGACACCATTATAGTTCCATTTGTTAAAATTGGTCAACCAACACCACAAGAGTTTTCAATACGCTTTGTCTTTAGATTTATTTAGGACTCTGTACCCTTTCGAGTAACTGGAAGCAAACTATTCTTCTTTGCTGACGTCACAGCTGTGGTTACTACCGGCTGTACGTGGGACTTCGACTAAAGCATCGACTGATTTAGTTACAATCAAATGTTGGTTGGATCACAACGCCTTATCAGTTAACGTTACAAAAACAGAGGCACTGATGCAGTCCGTTTACACAGTATAATTTTGCAAATACTTAACTGAAAAAGACGATTTCGCCACGGCTGATGTCATAATTCAATCATGATTTTGTTACCGCTTTCAATAATTTCTAGCTTAGTATGTTCCATTTTATTACACTTTTTTTGAATTTGATCTATTTGAATGTTACTATAGACTCTCGTCTCTGTTTAAATTATATTAAGGGTTTCCTTCTTTTTTAAAGTTTGATTTTATATAAGTTTTTGTTTCTTTTTTAATTTCTAGTAGTTGCAGGTAATTGCATCGAACATGTTCAATACTTTGTTTCTAGCCTAACAATAATCCCCCGATCACAGATCGACAGTCTATCCTGGGGAATTCCATCTAATGTATTGTTCTATTGTACTGTTTAATTTTTGGAATAAAAAGTATTTTGATTTGATTGGAGTATAGTAAATATTTCTACATTTATATTACCACAGAAGAGTAAGTGTCTAAGCCAACACTTACTCGATCTATATTTTAGAATACAACTTGATGTAGAATTTCTACTGTTTGGCTTTTTAACGTACTGAATAAACACTTAAAACAAACTCCAACCCTTCAACACATTTTGGTTTGTAGAGTGTGATATCTTACGCACTTGTACAACGAGATTTACAAAATAGGTGTGTTTAGATTATAAAAAGTAACTACCACAACCACGTCTACCTAGAATATTTTGGTTGTCCTATGTACCAATATATATTGGCAGAATTACCTGTTTAATATAAAACATTATTTAGTTACCCAAACTATTTTTGTATACTTATATTAACTAGTCATAAACAGTTTAAGTTGTGTGGAACTCCAAAAAAGTGTTAATTTGTAAGTTAACCAGAAAGTGTCTAATGATAACGATGGCAGTCCGTCTTACTTCCGGTACAGTTTTGCTCTCATCCGTCACTCTGGAGACAGGATATGACGTCATCCTGTGAGAGACAAATTGTGTTTGCAATTGAATATCTGGAGAAGGGATTAAAATCCTTTCTAATTAAGAATTTAATTTCCCAAAAATATATATGTTTCTTAACTTAGGCTAGAAATTTTGTTGAATAGTCTAAAACACACAATTCTTCGCTATATGTAAGAATGTATTGTCCAATACTTAGTGATGATTATTCATTATAAATTTCATACAAAACATTGAGATCACATGTCTTATTGTTCAATACATGTTTTCAACTTACTTCTTATAGTGTACCATTCTGTTTCTTACCATTTTAATAGTGTAATGACTTTTTTGCACCAATTATAAATATACTTTCTTATTCACTTAACTTAAAACATATTTCAAGAATAATAAAAGGTATAAACGCACATTTTCATCGTGGTTAATTTGAGCTTAGTGCGGACAATGCTGTATACACTATAAATAAATGTAATCAGGACTTAATAAAATTATTAGCCAACAGGTCTCAGTACCTGTGAAAACTCTGCGATAAATTTGTCGGAAAATATTAACCATCCATTTCTACTCCCAACCCTAACTATGAAATATGTTTTCTTCCCTTGGCTTTTTAATGTATAAATTATTTAGACTTTTTGATTATTTTAAGAAATGAACACTTAGTGTGAGTTATACACATTTTTCTTTAAAGGGAAATGATTGAGATGCAAACGGTGTGTTATAATGTATAGGTCCTAGTATACAAACATATTGACAACAATTCACAATAGACGGATTATGTCTATAAAAAAACACACAAAAAACATCCTGAGTGAAAAGTACGGTAAATAATCTAAAATTATTGAGTGAAAAATTAAATGAATCGAAGCCACTCTTAAGTTAACTAAGCCATGAACTAAGCTATATAATTAGTTTGTACATGATTTTTAACTGTGTAAAACGGCGTAGTGTTTTCTATAAAGTTTGAAAACTGTGAATATTTTACTTAGCTATTTCAAAGAAAACCTAATAAAAGTTTCTGTAACGAAATATTACACCTTCTTGCCTTAAATATTCACAAGGTGTGAAATATTGCAAAGCAAAGTTGTAAAAAGGCGTGAACTTCGTAAAATAAATCCAGACTCGAGTAGCTTAGGGAGAAATTTATCCTGTTTGGTAGAATATGTTTAAACTAAGGTGTTATTTTAACCCTATCTGTCTTCAGTAGTACAGTGGACGGCTACATATCATATGTAATGTAAGCTAGTTTCAATGACGACCACCAGGTGCTGTAATAGCAGCACCGGCGCTACATCGGCGCGGTACTCAGTTCAGTTGCATCTCTGACGCGTAACTGTTCGCACCCCTTTATCGATAAACTAAAAAGTTTTATACGTAATAAAGTGTACACTATACAGTGTAGAGTGTTTCTAAACGGTTCATATTTTCTATACTGTTAATTTTCGCTGTGTTAAATAAGCTGTGGATCAAGTTGGTTCTGGAATGTAGGGTGGAATATCTGAACATGAAGTTGCTTCTGTTGGAGTTTTGGAGGTGGATTATATATTCAAACACGGCATGGTTTATTCTTCTTCTTCCCTTCATCACAGGTAAATTTTAATTTTTCCAAAGTTTTTTGTTTGGATTGAAAACTATCATAATCGATCATGTGGTTACTTAGGTTTAATTTTGTAGTTGTCTATATTAACTTAACAAACCTATGTTTTACGTGAGATAGTAGTATATGTTTCTTGTATTGTAAAAATAAACAAAATAAAAAGGTTTCTAATTTGTATTAGCGTATGTAGCCTTAAGACCAATTCTACAAACTACCATACCACCATACTACAAGCTACCTAAACAAAATATATAGGAAATGTGAAAACCCCTATTTAAGCTTCCAGAGAATGAACTATTGAATGAAACTTAATACCGTAACGAGAGAAAAATTGTTGATTTTAATAAACACCTCCAACTATATTCAGTTAAAAGACATTGTGAACGTGTACAATATATGTCTGATCTTTAGTTATTCTTAAAAAAAGTGTAATATGTATTTCATGTAAATTTAGAGTCAAAACAAAAGTTGTCGAATTTCGACTTTACATATTTTTATTGAAATTTTTCTTCTGATACTCGCTTTCTTGTAATGCATATTTTATGTAATAACGTATGTTAAACATTAACTAAATGACCATAAAATACTGTTGTGAATATACGACCAGAGAACTTAACTGTAAACGTATTTTGTATATATGACCTGTTGCCAAAAGTATTAAAGTATAGTAGCATTCCTTTGGATAAAGATTAAAGCCACGTTTAGTGCTGTGCTGATTCCAAATGCTTGAATTTAATTTGCACAACAGGCCACCATTATGCAAATCTGTTTCATTTCCAAATCATCTGCAAAAGCTTTTGAAAATGAATAAAAAGTGATGAAAGTCACAAAGAAAATAACTGTGTGAAAGCCAGACACTTTAAAGTACGAAGAACAATGAAAAGGCAAGCGTTTGAAATGGGCAGTGTAATGAAAAACTCCAGTGGTATTTTCCATCCGCAGGCTCTTTGGAGTTTTTTCAGGCGTGAAGAAAACAATGTTTGTACTTTGCATCACAAAGTTAATGCTTGTGTTTCATTCAAACGCCTCGTGAATGTTTTCATTGTGTATGGAATACGTTATACTGCAATAAATGATATTTTATTTCGGTTGATGTATTTTAAAACTGCTTGAATTCTATATACCTTCTCTGTTAAACGACTAGCACTATGCTTTTAAGATTGGAATAGCTTAACATTTGTATACAACATTGTCTAAGCCAAAATATCTACTGTGTGCATTTTGGAAGCAAAAATATTTAACGTTTGATATATTTTATAAATTGAGATGAAAAAACTATGTTTTTAACTGAACCAGTACTCTTAGTAAAACTTAGAAACGCGTAAGATTTTTTATGGCTGGCTGATATTTCAAATTAAGGACAAGAAAGTAGAAGTATGATTGTACAGGGTGAGTTTTTTAAAGTAATCCAATAGCTAACTTTTTAATTACAGGACTTAGCACCTCACTTTAAATTTGAAACTTGCTCAGTTTTAAGTTTCACTCAAGAATACGATTTCAGATTTTTTCATTGTGGCCGCCATTTTCCAATATGGCTGCCAACTTTAAAATTTCTTATAGAACACCCTGTATTTTATTTTGTTTTTAGATTTTACTCTAAAAAATAAAACATTTTTGTTCTTGACATTTTTTCAATATCTCTAATAGTTAAGGAGCTACGAGGACAAATTGTTAAGTATTAACAGTAACAACACTTAAAACTAACATTGTTTTAAAACATGCTTTAGAATTCATTCAACTTTGTATGAAAACTCGTAGCTCCTTAACCGTTAGAGATATTGAAAAAATCTCAAGAAAAAAAATGTTTTATTTTTTAGAGTAAAATCTAAAAACAAAATAATATACAGGGCGTTCCATAAGAAATTTTAAAGTTGGCAGCCATATTGGAAAATGGCGGCCACAATGAAAAAATCTGAAATCGTATTCTTGAGTGAAACTTAAAATTGAGCAAGTTTCAAATTTAAAGTGTGGTGCTAAGTCGTGTAATTAAAAAGTTAGCTATTGGATCACTTTAAAAAACTCACCCTGTATATAAAAAGTATTAAAATATTAATATTATTAACCTTTTAATTAGGCCTACGACTTCATTTCATTTAATAAAAAAAAATCTAAAATAGAGCCTAGAATAAGATGGTTTTTAGTCTGAACCTAAAATATTTCTAACAATTAAAAAAATCTTTATTTTAAAGCTGTTTTTAAAATCATTGCGCGTACAAACAATACTAATATTATATCGGAAAACAGTACGTTAATAGTGTAGGTTATAGGTAATTTTTGTAATTCAAAACCTAACAGCGTTAGCTCTTAGCCAAACACTGGCAAGTTCATAGTCCAGGCAACGAAGGCAAAAAAATACCAAATAGAGGAAGAAATTCATGTATTTACATAGTACATACATGTATACATAGTATACATGTATTTCTTATGGAAGAAGTATTTGAATAAGATTTATATCTTGTAGATGTTTGAACCGAAATAGTTAGTTTCTTGCAAGAAATTTAAAATCTTCTTTAATTTGCTAATTTAGTATTGTATAAAAAATGTATAGTTTTCGAGTTATTTACGAAAACCCTAAAAATGGGACCTTAAGAGCCCCTAGCCCCCTTAACTCCACTCCCACCGGTCGGCACTTTTAGTATGTTGTTTAGGGATCCTTTCCCTACAACTGTACCAAATTTGGCTATTACATGATTTTTCCGCTAAAATGTCTTTGTTGCCTGGATTATTATGGTTAATTAAATTTTAAAAATCAATTTTTTTCATTGAACGATGAGCACTTTTTAAATACCCATCATTTAATCAAATTTGAGAAGTAATTTCGTTTTTTTAAGTAAATTTCGTCGTGCCTGTGAAGTGCAATACCTGTATTTATTCATATCCCAAATTTTCAAAGTTTATTGAGCAGCTATTGTGAAATGTTAATATTTATATTGCTGGGCGTAAACTACTTTCTTGTTTAATATTTACCAAACTATGCTAAAACAATCGTATTTAGTTACTAAAGTAATGCTCAAACTGACGTACGTGTTCCTGAAGATCTAATTCCGGGAATTGTCTCCCGTATCGAATGTAGAAAACAAAGCTGGAATTTGAAGCCACAAAAAGACAAACACACATAAAAACTCAAGTGTCGTTTTAAACGATCGTTTCAATGGAAACACTTGCATTACTTCTGCACTGACTTAACTCGTACGTTTTCAAGTTATTTCTACAGCTGTTTTTCAAACATTTGAACTTTGTTTGTATTTTTAAAAAAATGAGCTGAATCATATTGGACCAAACCTACAATTCCATTTAAAAACTACTGTAATCTATAAAGTAAAAAAAATACATCACAACTCTATCTATACCTACTACTTTTTTTTATCTGAAGTCAGGTCTTTAAATGGATCGTATCTTAACTTAAATTGTATTAGGCAAAGTTTTGTGAATTGAGTGAGATACTTGTGTTCTTACGGCCAATACGAGTATTCAATTCTCAACATTATACATTATAAATGAGTTTTAGCATTAGCTCTGAGGCCATGTGGTTCCGAACCACATGTAAATTGGTACTTGGTACATCAGTCTAGAAATAAAATATAATATCACAATTGAGAGTACATATTTAATATTGAGGATATTTTTCTAATAATATAAAATTAAAAGTTGTTATACTCTATTTGATAACATCGACTAATTACTGACAAAAACTAACCATTTGGTTAGGTGAAATATGAAATAGGAGATTTTAAGGAAACACTAACATAGACTAGTACAATCAATTAACCATAAAACCGAAACTGTAGGATTTTCATACAAACGGACAACTAGCAAATAATATTTCTCTATGAAGTACATAATCTTTCACTGCTTCAGACGTGTTGCGAAATTTCATGTAAATGAGTAGGACATATGTTTTGGACCTAATATGCAGTAAATCTGTCTCTTGCAGCTGATATGTAATTACTACTACAAATTAATCAGATTTCTCTGGTGATAGGCAACGCAATGTCAGTACCAAATTACCTTAGGTGAGATAGTAATGTATTAATTGTGTTAGCTAATTGCTTCCTTGATAGAAACAGAACAAAAATAACAAAACTGTAAATGTAATTGATTTTACTGTCAACCTTAACTACTGCATTCCAATAAACTAGTTAACCGCCCGTGCTCCGCCACGGGAATATTGTCAGCAATAAAAGAAATAATAATTAACAAATACTGTTTATCTTTGTATTTTATTTAGGGGTTGTTTAATTTTGTTACATGAAATATAACCGATAGTTTGCCTGTATAAACTATTTTATGTTAATCAAACCGATATATTATTTTAACCAAATGAATGTTTTATATTAATTCGAGTTTAATTTGAAAAATAAATAGTATACGAACTGGGCAATGCTGATAACCTAATAAGCAGCTATTTATGTTATTTAGATAATTTTCTCAAGTATATTCCTATATTCGTAGTTTTTTTTCATTACATTTGTTGTATGGAATAAAGATAGTCACTTAGCCTACATGTAGCCTAAATCACGCATCAGCAGTTGGTCGCATTTCACGAATCTTTGACCCATACTGTGAGTAAAAGCTGTGTTCACGTCGTAGGCTATATATAAAGTTGGGTATAATTTGTTCAATGTTAGAGGGTACTAAAGGTCCAATTTGATAGAAAAGGAGTCGTGGATTTTAAAACTATGTAGACTACCACTACCAAAAAGATGTTGATTCAAGTGAGACTTAGAACTGGCCATTTCAAAATGCAGATTTGTATTATATTTTACTCAAATAGTTTTTTGTCTCTCTTGACCCTTAATACTTTTTTAATAGTCACTGTTGATAAGATTTTCCATAAACTCACAATGTTAATAAGGAGTTCATTTTACCTTCCCCTTGTGCCAACATAAGGGTAAAATATTTGTGTCACAGTTAGTCTGTTCTGACTCAAAATTCATAGCAGTACTGACAAATCCAATCTAACGACCCCAATTTAAAAAAAAATTGGTATTT